CTGTCCTCTCTGGACAGTCAGGTCTGCCTGTGTCGCCCAGTTTCTGTGGCCAGGCTGTGGTCACTGAGCCTGTACTTCATCAGGGTCTGGTTCGTTTTGCTGTTATTTATCTTGGTTAGATATTCGGCTAGTGCTTAAGGTTCTCACAACATGCTCACAACGTTAGACAACAAGCCCCCCCTCCCCTCACGCCACTCGGGGCACTTCAGCTCCCGGGGGTATTTCACAGCGGGGGGCACAGCGCACCCCTCTCACCACAGCCCGGGAGACGGCAGGCGGTCAGTACCGAAGTAGTTCTTCATGTCGTTCTCCTTGATGGCGCCGGGCGCCTGGTCCGCGATCAGCTTGGCCAGCCCGTGGATTCCCATGGCGACGGCCGCGGCTCCCTGGGACCCTGGGGGGCGAAACCAACGAGCCCGTCAGCCCCGTCGCGCGCCGCACGCCACAGCCCGGCGGCCCGCGGATCTCACTGGGGCCCGTCGCCAGGCTGCGCCCTGCGTCGTCGCAGACTGCAGCTGCGTGGGTGGGCCAGACGAACCCCTCGCTGGTGTTTCCCCCCCACAATCGATTACTGCAGCGCCCCCGCTCGCTGGGGTACCCCGAGGCTGCCCTGAACAAACTTCATCAGCCAGGCTCCTGCCCCGGTCTAGTGCAAGTGATCACATCACTCCTGTCCTGGAGTCCCTGCACTGGCTTCCAGTCAAATTCCGTGTGGACTTTAAAACCCTCATGCTCACCTCTAAGGCTCTGCATGGCTTGGCACCTCAGTACCTGTCTGAGCTATCGCCCTACTCCCCACCTCGCAACCTTCGCTCTTCTAATTCTGGGCTCCTGTCTGTGCCCCGAGCCCGTGGGGGGGATGACAGACACTTCTCCTGCGCCCTTAAGCTCTGGAACTGTCTCCGCAAGGATAGCAAAGTCACCTTTCCCCGACCGTTTTCAAATCCGAGACTCCAAACCATCATCTTCTACAATTAAAAGCCTTTTAGTCAACTGTGTTCAGTGATAGCATCAGCGTCCGTCCCGTGCGGGTCTCGACGGGGGGTCTTGAACCCGCGTTTCGCGGCCACGGCTCCCACCAGCCGGTCCTGCACACAAATCATCACCCCTGAACCCGAAAACACAGCCGCACGCTGGACAGTGGGGCCAGCTCCGTGCTGGACGAGACGAGCGCGGACAAAAGGGCTTCACCCCCCGGGTTCAGCGCTGCGCCTCTTGCAGCTACTCCTGGGACACAAGGCGGGACCGCTTCTGGATAAACAGCATCATCCTTACCAAACCACTATGTCGTTTCCGAAATTCCTTCCACAGCCCTTTCGGCAAACAGCGGTGCCCGAGTGCTGCTCTCACGCCCGGCTGCAGCTACCGCGCCAATACCATGCGTCGCTTTCGCGCGAAACTCGGCGACCAAGCATCTCTCATCGACCGTCGAGCGAGTCCACGTTCGAGTCAGGGGGATCGATCAGTTGCATTTGATTGGTGTTGCCTGACGAGGAGTGATCCAGGAAAGGGCGTCGATCGACGCAACATTGATGCCATTTTTAATGTCATTGACGTGTGGCGCTAAGGCTCGATACGCGATATGTTATGCCTGCAAAGGCTTTCGCTCCAACCGTGAGCAGCCTTGAAGCCTTTGAGGCGCCATTTTGGTAATGGGAGAGAATGTTACCGAAAGGACAAGTATCTTTTTTTCTTTTTTTTTAATCTAAAAATTGAAAAAATATCACAATCAAAATCTGAATTTCGTCTTAACCCTCACCAGCTTTGATTCCTATAAAAGATTATGATCATAGCTTTCAAAACAAGCTGTATTTTCAAGTTTCTAAATAGATAGTATTTTTCAGTGTCACTGAAGGAACAAATGTACCAGAAATCGCCTGAGGTGATGCGAGCGTCTTCTCTATTAATCTGTTGCGGTTTGATAGCTCACTAACTTATTTTCTAAATGAAAACTTTCCTTTACAGCATATCTCCAGACTATTTCCAAATGTAAAAACACGAAAGCTGTGCGTACCTTATCTTTAATTACCTCATTTAATCTTTTTT